ACAAACTGAAGAATCGGAATGAAGTGCTTGTATGGAAAATTTTTTTATTTGAAGAGGTATCTTCGCGAAATTAGGCACGAGTTATTGCTTAAGGCAACAAATTTTTCTCCACAGAAATTGGTCAGATCAGAGCACTATATCATATAGCTGCCATACAAATTGAACGTTCAGAATCAAGTTCTTGTACGGTGCCTTTGTATTTGTGAAGGGTATTATAGCTTCGGCGCAACCGAAGTTAACGTTTTTTCTTGTTTTATTAATATAAAAACCACACATTAAGCAACATATTCGACATAAGGTTTGTAAGGATAACGAAAATCAATGTATGTAGTATTTGGGAGTTGGGGTAATTGGTAGACTAAATTCGCATATTTTCGACATTAAACTTATAAACAATATATATATTTATCTATATATATAGTATATCCAATATTATACGTTCAGTTAATTTTGCCAAGATATCTTACATATTAACTGATATATGGCATAAGGCCATCCAGAATTTTGAAAATTGTATCTTAATTATATGAGAGATTGAGGTAATATTGAGCCGATTTTATATATTTTTGGCCATACAACATACTACTAACAAAAAAAAAAAACACTCCCTGAGCTACATCAAGCTACCTCACATACCATAACTAACATATGTGGAGTAAAATCAACCGGATGTTTGATAATCCTGAATTTAGTTACCATATGTGAAGGCTTGGACAAGTTTTCATCTGATTTCACTCCTTTTAGGTACAAAGATGAAGCGTTTAAAGGAAAATACATCCATTTAATTTTATTGAAATAGCTCACATACAAGGAGCGTTCCAAAGTAAACAGGACTTTTAAAAAGAAGACAGATCAAATGGTTTTATCGGCAAAATCAATTAATATTGTTCAAAATAGTCTCCTTCTGCTTTAATACTGCTTTTTGTTTTAGCTCGTTGCCCGGTATGACCGCCAGTATGCCGGTGCAAGCGTTTTGAATGGCCTCCACGTCTGCATAACGCTTTCCTTTCATCGGCAAATGCATTTTTCCGAAAAGTTAGAAGTCGCACGGTGCCATATTAGATGAATACGGGGAGTGGTTGATTGTAAAAATGTGATTTTTGGTCAAATAATTGGCCACAAGCGTCGATCGATGAAACGGCGCATTATCGTGCAACAAACGCCAACTTCCATCTTCACGATATTCGGCCCGAACACGTCGAATACGGCGCACCAAACGCTTCAAAACTCCAAGGTAGAATACCGCATTAACGGTTTGGCCGGGTGGAACAAATTCTTTGTGGACAATACCCTTGGAATCATAAAAACAAATCAGCATTGTGTTCACTTTTGACTTCTCCAGGCGCGATTTATTGGGTTTCGGCTCATTTCTCATTTATGTCCTCACGACCACTTTGAAAACGTTGAAACCACTCGTGCACTATGCTACGGGATAGGCAATCATCGCCATAAACTTGTTTCATCAATTGAAACGTTTCGGTAAAAGTTTTACCAATTTTAAAACAAAATTTAATGTTGGCTCTTTGTTCGAGGCTCATTTCTCACCAATGACAAAAACATACTGACACTTAAAACGCAATAACTTCACTTCCAATAGATGAAATGTTATAATAAAATTTTTACTGGAAGTCGACAAAGAATAGCAGATTCTAACGCACTAGACATATAGATGGCGCCACTAGATTTTACTTTTTTACTATTTACTATGGAACGCACCTTGTATTAGCCGATTTATGCGGTGTGAAGTATACCGCATGTTTGAAGAAATTACGACAAGGTATATGGGAGCTTAGGAAAGTATTGACGAGATTCAATTCATTTTTGGTATACTTGCATACTAATATCAGAGAGAAACTCTCTCCGTATTTCAATAATATACTTGTATCTCAAAGATTGGCCGTTATTTCCAGTAAAAAGTTAGCAGGAGGCACTGTGGTCCCAGTTTAGTAACTGGGGGCTTGAACAGTTATAGTCCGATTTTTAGACTTGGGATGGTATATCTTAGAAGCCCTATTTGTGCAAAGTCTTGTCCTAATATATTCTTTGGTGCTTGATTTGGAAACTGGAAAGGGAAAGAATCATATGGAATTTAAAATTGTGCTAGATAAGAAGAAGGCGTGGTTGTAGCCTGATTAAGCTCATTTTCTCATTGTGAGATGGGATTGTTAAAATAATTTTGTTGAAATTGATTAAGTAGTTCCGAAAATATACACATAAGTTCGCCTAAATGTTGGCGGTGCCACGCCTATCATCCAATTTTTACATCGGCTTCTTTAAATCCCTACCATCTCGGATGTAAAATTTAATTTTTAGTAGTTTTATCAAAATCGTTAAATGGGAGTGAGCGGGGTAATCATCCGATTTCATCAATATTCACGCTGTCGAAAGAAGAGTCAAAAATATTCATTCTGTGCAAATTTGGGTCATATAGGTTGAATGGTTCAGGAGATATATATATTAAATCATTAGAGGCTGAGGCCACGGCCACTTTTAAAAAACCATGCACAAATCCTTGAATTGAAGCTTATTCCTTTCTGAATAAGTTCAATGCCATATGTATGTATTTCATAACAGAGGAATCGCCGTTGATACACGTTAGTGGTAAATATATAAGATGCTGTTGCAAGCCTTTCAAGATTTTTGTGAGATACAGGCCAAATCTTCAATAAAGCCCACTTCAAGTTTTTGGATTGAAATAAAAAACTCACAGAGACTATAAAGCCGGCGTTCCAAGCAATTGCAGAATTGCCGATTACTCATGGGCGATTTTTACACACTGTTTGATTAGAACATAACACACACAGCCAAGCTTTAAGCCAATGCATAGAGAAGTGAGTGAAGAAAGTTTGTTAGAAAACAATGTAGCTACTAAGCCTTTTGTTGGCCAGAGGACAGCTTAAAGAGCTCTTAGTTGTAAATCTCTATTTGGAAAAAATGATAATTATATATCTTTATGCTAACGTATAACATATCAGATCTATTCAACACCTATAACTTAGTCAAATAACCTGAGAGCATTAACTTCATTTTAACAATCAAATGTATGTGTTCTAAAATTTCGTCCACCGATTGCTTCTAAGCGAGTTTTTGAATGAAATTGGGGTTGCTTCGGATGACGAAGTCGAAGATGATGCGCATATTGAACAATAGAAAAAAGGCTATGCAAAAATCGACAACTTTAGTCCAAAGCCAGTCAGTCTAACCAAAAATATAATAAAATTAAAAAAAAAAATTAATTTCAATGCCCCCATCATGGAGCACTCGGTACCTGCCTCACAAGTGAGCATTGAATGGTAATTTTCAGCACAGAAATTAGTAGAGCGCGAGCAAAAGTGTAACCTCTAAAGCCGTTTCTTTAATTCTGGCCAATACTGTATTCCAGATTCTTCTAACATGTTGCGATTGGGGAAAGACATTATACACCTGTATGTGGTGTATTGGGCCTAGGGGAGATGTGACTGACGGAATCCGGAGACTTGAAAACTCATGGTCTGATTTCTACGATTTTAGATGAGGTGCACTACTTCTTCAAAGTTTTATTCCGCTATCTTCATTCTCATTTGTATTATATATTGTAAAGTAAACGAAACAGATCGAAATTGAATATTTGAAGTGGGAGTGATTGTAGTCCCTTTTTTTCCATTTTCATAGTGTGAAAAGAGGATGTTAAGAAAATATGAGGTCCAGAATTCTGGTTGGTAATGCCTATGGGCGTAATCGGACCAATGCAACGCCCACAAAACGTCATTCTTGGGATCTTATAGTGCGAAATCGGATTACAACCACGCCTATTTCTCATATAACACCATTTTAAAAACTCCATCTGATTCTTTCACTTTCAACTATGCAAATCAAGCAACAATGATTGTATCGGGTTATATGCCTTCTTGTGACCAAAAATTATCTAAATTGTACCAAAACTGTCCAAGCCCCTAGGTACTGAATATGTGGACCCCAGTTGACTTTTTACCAAAAAAAATCGGTTAATGTGTAAGATATATAATTGAAATTCATATAATAAATTAAAAACGGGTTAAGTCGGATCAATACTTCCTTTAATATAAAATTTTGCCAACACCTAAAGTAATTTCCCGGACTTTGATCCTTGCAAGTTGCGAGAGTATAAAATGTTGGGTTACACCTGAACTTAGAACTTCCTTACTTGTTATACTGTCGTTATCAACTTGTTGCTACAGAGTATAATAGTTTTGTTCACCTAATGGTTGTTTGTATCACCTAAAACTTATCGAGTTAGATAAAGAATTATGTATATAAATAAATAAATAAATAAAATATAAATGATCAGGATGAAGAGACGAGTTGAAATCCGGGTGCCTGCCTGAGTAAAAATTGAGATATCTTTATGAAACTTGGTACACATATTTCTTGGTACCGTAAGACGGTTGGTATTGCAGATGGGCGTTATCGGACCACTGCCACGACCACAAAACGCCATTAATCAAAAACAAATAAATTGCCATAACTAAGCTCCACAACAAGATACAAGACTCTTATTTGGTATACAGGATCACATTAGGGAGGGGCATCTGCAGCTAAATTTTTTTTTAAAATTGGGCGTGGTCCCGCTCCTTAATAGGTTTAATGTGCATGTCTCTTATACCAATCCAGGAAAGTACTTATTTAACGCTCAAATCTAGCACCAATGAATATATCGGAATAAAATTTTGCACAAAAAGTGCCAATAAATTAAGTCATTTCACGTCTTAAAATTGTTACAATGCACCATAACTTTCCAAGCCATATATACTCAATACGCGGACTTCAGTGCTTATTGCTGATTTTATACCGAAAATATTGGTAACACTCTGAGGTACATATTTTATTGAAATTCAGATATAATACTTTCTAGGTAATAAAATGGCCATGTATCGAAAATGGATAAAATTGAATCAATACTTTCCCTAACTTACATATACTTAGGTATAAGAAATAGAATGTAGAGTTTAATAAGTTAATAAAAAGAAATGCAATATGTATACTTACTTATCTATATGTAATTCCATTTGCCACATTTTCGACTGTGACATTAGCAAACTGGAATTAAGCCAGTACTTTTTTTCTTTTAAATTTATATGTATTTCACAAATAGCGGGTTTAATATTGTCGGGTTGGGAATTAAGTTGCATAGCAAACTCATATAGATCGTTACCATATTTAAAATTTAAATTGCTATAGATGAATGTTTGAGTTATTCGGTACACAGCATTTAATGTTGTAGTTTCAAAACTAGCACTTTCTGTGATCATTTTTAGCACCTGCAGCCGGTTACGGTTTTTATAGTTAACTTTAACTACAATGTAGTCTTCTGTGAACCAAGCACCATTAAATTGAATCTGTGAGGTTTAAAAATGTTGATTGTAATATATAGTTAATAATGATATGCTGAGTGAATGTAATATAATATTTGCTTATTATGCTGGAAAAGATAATGTTAACATTTTATCTTTATCTTCTTTAGAAGTAAAAATTAATAGTTTTTTAAAACTTTTACATTTGCATACTTACGGTAGATAATACCATTAGAAAAAATTGGAAACAATTGACATACTTAAATTTTAATAACCTAAGTATTTCAGAATGTTTAAAATCTGTTCTTCTAGAATTCTACCGTATTGTTAATATTACTCAAAGTTAATAACGCAAAGCAACTTACTTAAAATATCGCAATGTTTATTTGATGATGCAATTTGTTTAATAGCAATAGCAATTGCGATTGTAACATACGAGTATACAATGTTCAGGGATGGACAAAACCTTAGCATGTGCTAAAAGAGCGTAACCCTACAAGAAACTGCGGATGATCACCAATACACTCACATTTATTATATTAGCACTGATAGTCAAATGAACAGTAAAATTGCTGTCAATGTTTACGATTTTTTTAAAAGCAAATTGTGTAACTATTTTTGTGTTAAAAAAATAATTAAATAACGAAGGAGTTTTCAAATATAATATACGTAAATATAATAATATTTTTAGTTTATTTTTATTTAGGCATTTTTAAATTTCGAAATATTCATGAACTGGAGAAACACGTACAGCAAAGCTTTTGAGAGGAGCAAGCATGAAAATAAGTGAAATTTGCTTTTCATAATTTATTACTTAATTATATTTTTGTTACACTCTTTTTTTATATTTATGTCTATTATTATAACTAATTTTAATTAAAAGTTTTGCATTTATTAAAGAAATAAAAATTATGCGCAACAGAATTTTTCACTTCTGATAGATTTACAGTCATAACTGACAAATTGCAGCTATGATAGTGTTTCAATCATAACTGACAATTTTCAGCTATGATGGATTTATGGTCAGCAATGACTCAGAAAATGACATGAGAGTGAGCAGTATAGATATATAGTGAATCAATTCCGAATACCCATGCGTTAAAGAGAGATGTAAACTCATACACAAACGTTTGTTTACATCAGATTTTGCACAAGGCTCTTTAGAAAATGATAGAAACTTTGTTCTGCGCGCTGACAAAATTTTTTTAGCTGTGACTGTCATATTACCTGTCAGATGACTGTCACTGTTCTTGTGGGGAAGTGATCGTATGTACTTGTATATGTATACACACGGATTGTCATAACACGCACATATGAAGAGCGTAAAGTGAGCAAAGCAATGGGACAAAGCGACGAAAAAGTGTAGACGGAGGTCCATATTTTACGCGTGAAATTAAACTAATTTTTACTCGATAAATTTTTACATAGTCCCTTATTCAAATGCCAAATGGTCCAACTATAATCTAATTGCCACTCAACCTGAAATAATATTTATTTTAATACATTTATTTGCACGTGCACATATTCAGTCCGGCATCGATCTGCTGATTCGCTTTGTCACACTGTAAATGCACTAACACAATGCCATTTTGTGAGAGTCGTTTGGTTGTGGTCGTGCCCATCCCTGACTTTGTTTGTTGTGTCCTTAGTTTGCATAATATTGAACATTTATACAACATCATGAAAAGTAACCAATAAACTCACCAAAAAGGATTTAGGAACTGTTTCTATAAATTTCAACCGTCCGAAACATGAGTTGAACTTCGAAGCACTGATGTTAAAAGAAGCATCGAATGTTAGCAGATCGCGTTGCGGAATTAATACAGAAAACAGAAACAAGGCCTCTTTTTCTGGACTTAAAAGAATTTCAGCTAAAATATTGTGTTCACTGCCATTTTTATATCGCTCCTCGTGTCTTAAAATTAAAAATAGAAAATTTTAGTGTAGTTACTGATAAATGTTAAATTAATTTACTTGATAAATAATTTAAAGTTGACCTTAGAGCGGGGAATCTTGACATTAAAGCTGGCATACGAACGAGAACCTTCCCAAATATTTTCCTCGGAATAGGAGCGCGACAGTATTAAATGCAAAATGGTCGTGGAGTTTGGATCCTTAAAGTCTTTTGCATTATTAAAAGTTAAAATACCTTCAGTGTGGCCCTGCAATGATCGCCAAGTTGCATTTGATGCAAAATTTAATTTTGGGTGTGCTGAAGTTCTAAGCTTTATATTTCCATCATATTCCACCTTGGATTTATCCAAGGAATTTAGTAGGCGTCCTTCTAAATATATACTCTCTATTTTATTTGTTTGAAACTGAAAAAATCAAAAATGGTATTTGATATGAAACTATACTAATATAATAATATAGTACATATGTACAACATTTGTTGTGTGTTATCCTTATCGAGATGACATTACAAATTTATACCTATATATAATATGATATGTATATATGCATATCATAAACGAATAAAATTAATCAACCCAATGTATGCAGTACATGGGGAATAAGATTGCACTTACCGCTGCTTTATACCATAATTATTTCTAATTTTGTACACAACATACATACATTTGCATAGATTATTTTTAAGAGATTATTTTGAAAACAGTCTGCAGTATTGGCCCTATAACTATATTCGTGAATGAATCATGGCAATTTTTGATACCCTGTTCTGATGTGAATCGTGAGGCAGTTTTGTATTGAGGTAGTCAGAAGGAACCAGGTCTGGACTATAAGGGTGAGGCAAAACCTCCTAGCCGCAGTTCCACTATTCCAAATAGTTTTTAACCGGTTTTGCAACATGTGGCGGCGCGTAGTCATGGTTATTTATTTCAGGAGTTGTCGGTAGAGTTCTTTATTAATGCTTTCACTCGATTTTAGAAGCTCATAATAAAGCATTCCCCATCCCCACCAAATACAGACTATTTGCGGGGCGCCATGGATATTCGACCTTCCCGTTGATTTGGCTGACGATGCAACATTTTGCGTTTAGCATGTATTATGCAAAACTTCTTGTTGTAGCTTTGAAGCAGCATTTTAGACATGCAAAATCGTTATCCACCATCTCTGGGCTTCAATTGATATGGTAGCTGATTTTGTTGCTTTTGAATGTATGCGGTTGCTTTTAAACGTTTTTTCTTCTGCAAGTTCTTCCTCTGTCTAGTAACAGTTTTCAATGCTTCCAGTTCTTCATTATCAAACTTTTTTTGGCCGTCCAAGACGTTCTTTGTCTTCAAAGCCAAATTCACCACTTTGAAATCGCTTAAACTACTTTTGGCACGTTGGCTAAGCGTGTTCACCATAAACTTCTTCCAAAATAACTCTAGACAAACTGAACGAATATATTTATAACCTCAATATTTATATTCTTGCAACATGCTGCAACGGAGAGTATAATATGTTTAACCCCGCTAACATACGGAGTTATATTATATTATATTTTGAGTAGAATACCGAGTGACTGTCTCTCCGTCCGCCCGTCTGTCATGGTAAGCAATACTTTTAGTAAAAATTGAGTTTTCGTTATAACACTTCGTACACATGTTTCTTGGCACAAAAAGGATGTTGGTGTTGCAGATGGGCGTAATCAGAAGAATGTCGCGCTCACAAAATTCCACTAATCGAAAACTTATTAAGTGCAATAACAAAGTTCCACAATATGATATAATAATGGTATTTAGTACAATGAATCGTAATAGGTAGAGGTGTCTGTGGTTTGGAAAATTTAAAAAAAGTGGGCACTGTGCCACTCCGTAGATAATAGACATATCTCAAGTCGAAAATTGGATCAAATTGGACCATAACTGTTCAAGCCCAGATACCCATTATGTGGACCTCATTGCCAGTGGCTGACTTTTACCAAAAATATCTGTGAATCTGCATATATTATTTAAATTCCGAGAGAGCCTTTTCCTGTTAATATAGAGCTTATAGAGCATATTTTTCTGGTAATAATTGCGGCGTGCCAGAAATGGATTGAATAGGGCCGAAACTGCCCCTAACCCCTTAATAACTCAATATAAGGGTTTGAAACTTCTGGTTGACTTTATACCATATATAATTCGGTTTCTTCGAATAGTGCATTGTTAAAATTGCGTATTTAATTTTAACTTAATAATTAATCAAAGAAATGATGACAATTCACAAAATATCCTTTTATAAGTTTTCAATGTATATACAATACTAAAAACTGCATCGATCGTAGTACCATATCTTTTGGTTGTTATATTTCTATAATTTTTCATTAGAAAATTTAATACTTCTTTCAAGTATTCGGTAAGTGCAGCCGATTTCTTTTTTTCTGTACAACAAGTGTACCTTAGTATAAAGTTTGTCAGACATTCGCACAAATTAATAAGAAATCAATCTGATCAATTTGTAATAATAAATATTTAAAAAATATTTGCGTATTCAATATTAATTTGGGAAAAATATGAGTAAAAAAATAATAACTAATATGAAAAAAAAAATTAATTTACTGCATATATGAGTCGAAAAACAGACTATTTATCTAAGTGCATCTAAATTTGTGAAAATTTGTGACAGTAGATGCAAATTCTAATTGTGATCCCAGTTTTATTTCCCAGTATTTTTCTTCACATTGCAGTGATAGCCGTGTTAGTGATAGGATCGATAGCGATAGTGTAAATTTAAAAATTCTAGAGAAGATCTTATTTAGAGTAGAAATAAAAGCTTGAGCTTTAAGAAGTAAAGTATCCTACAGCACAGTGACTGATCTGCCAAAAGTCTCATAGGTACAAACCAAAAAGGGTGAATATTCAACCGATTTAAAAGGAGAATTTTTTTACTATCTTTATAAAATGTAAATTCTTTATTAATTCTTCCAAATCAATTTCATCCCCTTCCAAGTATTCCCGTCCGATAAAACACACTTTTGCCAACACTTTTTCCAGCACTCGAAATAGTCGGAATATTATTTTTTTGGTATAGCTCTTAAGACATTCTTCGATTTTCTTTATCTCCTCATTTGTGTCAAAATAACCAATACTTGTTCGTCCATAATTCCGGTTGTCAGACGAATAGCTTGACAAAAATGACGCATAACGCTCAAATAATATCCTTTGCTGACAGTTTGGCCTAGCGAAAGGAATTCACTGTGCATCACACCTCGATAATCACTCCGACTTACTTTTTGATCACAGTAGTATATAGAGGAATTCAAAATTACAATACTTTAAGAAAAATTAATTCCTTTACCTTGAAAATAGGAATAATATTGTGCTTGGAAAAGTAGACCTTTAATTATTCAAAAATTCAAATAAGGTATTGTGGCTTATTTTAGCATCAATAATTTTTTGAAAGAATTTTGCGAAGAAGTAAATAATAAAAAAAACTTGACATTCATTTATTTTGAGGCATTTTAGGTAAATGTTATAAGAAAGAGATTTTCTCTGAAGTTGACTTAGATAACTCACATATTAAGCAAAATATGCGGTATAAATTCAACCGGAAGTCCCAAATCTTTCTTTCCTTTTCCATTTTTATATTTTTAACAAAACCCAATTCAGATAACTTTTATGCTCAATTTTAAAAACTTCCAGACTACAAATGACACCTCACTACTGCGATTTGCTGTACAAAATTACAGGTTTGTAGGTAAATTATCATGGATGGACCAACAGTTACTGGGAATTCAACTCCTCTCGTCATTAACAAAAGGATGGGAAATTTTATTCTTTACTAATGAAAATCATTATATAATATGTACGATATGGGAGTTGTGGTAACACCATATTGTCGGCATCAAAATATAGTATATCCAATATTATAGTTTCACTTAATTTTGTTAAGATATCTTATATATTGACCGATATATATGGTATAAAGCTAACCGGAAGTTTGAAATACTTATATAATTCTTGTACATTTTCTTATACAATGTACTTGTATATGGGGGCAAGGGAATATTTTGACCGATTTTTTCCAGTTTTGCTATTACGACATATCATTACCAGAAATTGAGGTTCTCTGAATTTCATTAATAATCCTTATAGATTGACCAATATATAAGGTATAAAATCAAGCGGGTGTTTGAAAATCCATATGGGGACTAGGGACGTTTTGCCTTAATTTCATTCATTTTAGGCAAGAGAATACACTGTTATTAGAAAAAGATTCTTTCTGAACTTATGTAAGATTTTTACATATTGACCGAAAGATGCGGTATGAAGTCAACCGGAAGTTCGAAAACATACTAAATAACATATTAGGTATATAGGGCTGAGGGAAGTATTGACTCAATTTTATACATTTTTGGTACACCTGCTCCTATTAAGCCCATCCCTACCGTCTTGGATGTGAAATTTAATGCTTGTGGCTCATTTATTTAGTGAGTTATCGCACATTCAGTGGTTTTCAACATAACTGTTATATGGGAAGTGGGCGTGGTTTCCTGATTTTACCCAGTTTCATAGCGTATAAAGAAGTCCTAAAAGGACTTCTTCTCAGCACGCTTGGTTGAGTTATCCTCAGCGGTTTGAAGGATACGTACATTTAACCATTAGGAGGCCCAGCCAAACCCACTTGTAAACATTTTTTTCAACCGTAGATGCCTCTCTTTGAAGGAATTCTTTATACTAAATAACAGCCTTGCATCTTATTGTGGAGCTTAGTTATGCACTTTAAAGGTTTTCGTTTGATGGCGTTTTGTTGGCGTGGCAGTAGTCCGAATACACCCATCTGCAAAACTGACCGCTCTTGGGTTCCAAAGAACATATATTGAAAGTTTCATCAAGGTATCTCAATTTTTACTCAATTTGTCGCTTGTATGGACACACGGACGGACAGAGAGTCACCCGGATGTCAACTTATCTCGCCACCCCGTGAACTGAAATTCTAGTTATGTTAGCACATATAATTTCATAAATTAAACTTTTGTATAATATTTTAAATTTACAGAAACAGCCGTTTTTGAGAATAAAACTAAATACTGAAATAAGACAGTGTACATGATGTGTTGCGGCATCTGTACACTAATAAACGTCTGTAGTTAGGTAACAAGGATAGTAGGTGTGAAAAGCAGCAATTAATACATTTTTTACTGATTTTAAATATTTCATATGGTAAATTTCGTGTATAAAGTTTAGGTAAAATTAGTTTAATTTTTAATTTCTTTCATTCTTGTGAACTGGCGAATTTCGAAAAACAAATTTAGTCGATGATATGGAACTGATAGTTCAGTTTGTATGACAGCTATACGTTATAGTGTTACGATATTGGTAGTTCCAACAAACGAGCAGATTCTTGAGGGACTAGTTCGCATATATGCAGACAGACGGAAATGGCAAAATCGACTCTGCTTATCTCTTATTTATTTATATTTTAAAAATCTATAAAGGATCGTCAAAGAATTTGAAGATACAGAAGAAGGCAAATTTAGTAGAAGTTGCTACACGCATGAATGCTATACTAGTGTAGTTGAATTGGAATTGCCATCATTTCCTCGCTCGTAGCATTGGACTCGAACAGGTGGCAAATAGTGATGTATGTAGATAGTGAATAGTAATAACTGATGACGATTAGTAGCAACACTATTTTATATCATGACTAGTAAGATTTGCCTGGGGTTTTCGGTGAGCTTACTTTGTCTTCAACGATTCGTACTTCTGGGCACTGTCTTTCGCAACATTTTGCACAAAGTATAACAGTTTTGCTCCCCTAACGGTGTTGTATGTAACATCTAAAACTAATCGAGGTAGACGTAGATAAATACATAGAGTTATTAAATCAAAATTATTAGGACAATGCAACGAATTGACTGCTAAGGGTGACTTTTCGCTCGTGCAAGCGATAACTTAGCTCTTCATTACTTGTTATTCTTATAATGATATATAATTACAAAATCAAATTTACGTACGATCACTAAAAATAAAATCTGTTTTATCTAAGGTTTTATATCTTATACATATAATATTTGTCGTTAACTTCTGATAGAAGTGATCGAATTATTGTATAATTTAGAATAAGGAAAGTAGAGAATAATTAGAAAATCTGATAAATGTATGGGTTAACGAGTTACTGCAATTAAAGAGTATATGGAAATGTTTGTAAAAAATTGTATTACCCTATAGTTTACGGTGATATTTCCTGATTTTGTAACTTCACTCTGCATCATAACACCACGCATGAGCATTTGCAATTTACGAGTCTCAAAAGAAAAGTCTATGTCGCTTTGAGTTATGCCATTTTTTTCATTAACACGCATTGTTCCCAGAGCTCCTGTTATATTGACGCCATTTACGGCCAATAACATTTTCGGTTTGTAAATCCACACATTTCGTTCTTGCAAGCGTTTAAGTTCCATATTTAAATCAAGACTACTGACGTTATTCATTTGTAATAAAAATTCGAATCGTTTGTAATTCGTACCTCCTATATATTGACATATGACTGCTGCTTTATTGAGTCCATGTGTAAAAAAAATTGATGAATTAAAGCTTTCTGGGAACGTGTTAATATTAGCTGAGATCGAACGTTCATGTAAGGATCCAGGAGTATGAAATATAAATGCCCATTTTGAGTTATTATCCTGTTTGTTCGATGTAAATTCAAAAGTCCATTTTTTTGCTTTCGGGTCAGATTTCGATAACACAATGCTGAAGTTCAGAGGTCCGCTTAGAATAAGTCCAGGATAGAGAGTTTGTTTAGAAGTATTGATATTTGGAACGCTGTAGTCAATACACATTTTTAAACCAAATGTTGTTTCCAATGAAGACCATGTGCAAGTAGTATTGAATATACGTGGCTGAACACCAGTCTGCGGTTCATCTTTGCTTTTTGTCATTTTGATTAACTCAGATTGAACACTTAAAACTTCACTGGTATTTTGTGGTAAGCTAAACGAGAATGAAACTAAGTTTTTACCATCAACAATAAGATCTGCTTCAGCCTCCGTGTTTGAATAGACTGTACTTTTCACCTTAATACCCGATTGCGCAGAAAACATATCCGATTTCATTGTTCCTACAAAATTAACTAATATTGTTGGCTTCAATTTGCCTTTTATAGCGAAGTTCCATTCTGAAGCAGTTGGATTCATATGATTTATATTCCCCGATAAACGAAGGTCTATGGAAGAAGCGCCAAATAAATCTATTGATAACGGTAAACCAATCAATAGAGGCGCAATATAAGAAGCTTCAAGAAATATGTTTGTTTTTGAATAAGTAATTTCTTGGCCAGAAAGTATTTCCGAAATCTTTTCTAAAATATTAAATTCTTTGGCCAGCTTTGCGAAATCGTGTATCCCATTTAAAGAATAATAATGTAAGTCATTTCCAAAAATGCGCAATCCAAAATATGCTTTAGGGTTGTTATAGTCGTATTTGAGTTTATATCCTATGTTTTTAATAACTTTTTGTAAATCTTTTCTGTAATTATTTACATCTTTAATTGAGATTGATCGTTTCAGGAGACACTTAGTTTCACAGAACTCATCTCTAAGAGACGAACTCTTAAGCAATCTTTCATTTTTAGAGCTTTGATTAAATAAAGGAAGATTACCATTGACTGAGTTATGTGTTGTTGTATCTGGAATATATTTTATATTCAATAGTTTTTAGTACTCACTTAAGAAGTATGAATTATGAAAACTTACCAGAATTATCTTTCTTTAAACTTTCAAACCATTTTCGGAATATATCCAACACATGTTTTAACCCGTTTTCCTTTAATATGCTTTCCTCATTGAACCATTTTTCAGAAATTATGATTGAGCTTATTAATTCGTCAAAACCTTCGGCCCTTGTTGTAAGCTCCAAAAAATTTATCGAATGACCGAAAAGGTTAGAAGTAAAATTAAACATCAACATGCGTGGTAGGTATGACTCTGTGCCAAAGATTACATTCATATCTACAGTGCTACCTATAAATGAAACAAATATAAATTTGTTAAAAAATATAAATTACATAGGGGTTGCTTTTCTAGAAAAAGTGTATACATATTATATTTTGCTTTAAGAGTACATTGTTCTGATCAGTTATTATGCTAATCCTACTACAAGTATTTATCATTGCAACGTGTTTTTGGAGAAAAGAAAACGCTATGATCCTTAGTGTTGCAAACTCACCGAAATTAAACTCGTCGAAAAACAAGTTTTGTTGATAGTTACGGGAAAATTTTCGAATATCTAATTCGTATTTATTAGAAATATCATCATCAAGCAACAAAGTCTGGACTGTAATATATAAGGGTGATGATGACTTCGCTAGATTCCTCAGATGCGACCATACAAATGAACCAACTTGATTAATTTCTTCAGTTTTTAAAGTGTTTTTTATTTTCTTGATTGAGAAGTAGTCAGGACAAATCATAACTTGCAAATAAGCTGCAATTCGTACTTCTGAATGAATGTTAAAGTTTGTGTAGATATTCAAAAGTAATGAGCGATGTAAAACACAGTCCGTCCGTCTAAATATATAAACTGATTCTAAGCGAAGGTTCAACAACACATTCTCATCCAATATTATTTTCTGCATTTGGGCAATAAATTGTTCTGATAAAACGCCGATATTTCCAAGACCTTTCATTATAACAATCAGTCGTTCATATAAACGCCTTTCACCACGAAATGAATTAAAAATTTTCACAAATTCTGTCTCAAGTGAATTTGTGATCAATTTAACTCGCATATTTTTTTTGCAATTAGAATTATATAGACAAAAGCTACGTATAACAGCGGTTGTACATAATGTGTATTCGGGTTCATCCTTGACACGTGAAAATTCAAGAATGGTGTAAAATGTTTCAACAGTATCTTCATCGGGACGTCGAATAAATGATAGAGACTTAATCCAGTTGAGTGCCAAGTTTTTAGATACACTATTTGTAAGAAGTTGGTCTCGCATGAGTTGATATGATGCAGAACTCCCAATATAAGGTAATGCGTCGAGAACATGATTCCTGGAAATAAAAAAAATATACATAAACCACAATTTTATAAAAAGCAATCTGTTACAATTATGTCTTCAATATGGATTTATAATAAACATATTATATAAGCAAGGTTGCTAGAGCAAAAGTTATGACAGCTTTGAAATTATATATTTTAAGACAAATTCTGCTCCTATTTTTTTGGTTCTATAGTCTGTGAAATTCATTTGTGTTATTCCATTTCCAAAAACGGCTGAACCCAATTGGCTGAAAATTGGTGGGGGGGTAGCTTAGAAACAGGAGACGTACATAAAATACTTTTTATTTCTTTATGTTAAAAGTCAATACAATTCATAAATATTCAAATATATACTTCAAAAAAAGAAATAATAATAACAACAACACATAGCTTATTACAGTACCTACAGTATAGAAATTTTCGTATACATACATGTATGGATTATACTATTTGTTACTACGGAACAAGGCGGTTTTTTGTTAGGACGCACCATGTGGTACCGGTAATACTATGTTCGCACCGACACAAAATTCGTGTTTTCATAGACAAAAGAGGTTTTCACGCGAAAACTTGTATTTTCATCCATACAAAATCTGTCAAACGAAAACACAGTTTTCGCTGAAAACCCCTTGAAAACTTACATTCCACTCATTATAATCGGTGCCTGCTCTAGTTTAATCGATATTATTAGAAGACATATTTTGCCAGCCCTAAATGTCAGTTGACAATTTGCTTACATTCCATAATTGGCCTAAACGTACCCTACAAGAAACTGCTGATGGGTTCACCAATACACTCAAATTTGATATGTCAGTACTGTTAATTTACATTTGCATTTTTAAACTCAGAACTATCCACTGATTGGAGAAAGACGTACGCAGAGCTATTGAGAGGAGGAGATGGCATCAAGTGAAAATTTATTTTTCTATTTTCATATTTTATTATATTTTTTGTTGCATTCCTTTTTATATTTTAGTTTGAAGTTTGAAATTTTTTAAAGAAATAAAAATTATATTATCTACTGCGCAAAAGAATTTTTCACTTCTGATAGCGATTCAGTCATAACTGATAATTTTCAGCTATGACGGATTTATGGTCAGCAATGACTCAGAAAAAACAAAACAAACAAACAATAAGAAAACAAGGCTCTTGAGAAAATGATAGAAACTTTCTGCGCGCTGACAAAATTTTTTCAGCTATGACTGTCATATTACCCATCAGATGACCGTCACTGTTTTTGTAGGGTACATAACAAATGTAAACAAATAGATGTGTGAACTGTCAATGAAAACTCATCGAGAACACACAATGTCGGTCAGAACGACTTTGGTTCCACAATCCACAAATTGTGTTTTTAAGAGGATTTCAATTCAGTGCGAACATATTATAAGACATTTTCAATGTCACAACAGAAAATCGCGTTGACATTTGCATCGCCAAGGCATTGCGACTACTTTGCTAAATTATGGGCGAACGACGCACAGGTATTAATAACAAACAACGCAACATCTAAAAAAAAAAATTGCAGAAAAGCTGCAGGGTTGATAAAATGTTCTGTTATAATTTAAAATAAGTGCAAAATGGCTCACAAATATTCTTGAATATTACAGAGCAATGAATTATATAAACGAGAACGATGTTTTCGGTGGTACTGTCATACCACTGTCTGGTGATTGCCGACAGCCCGGTCATCCTTAGATGAGATTAACGAATGTTTAACCAATCGTTCTTATGGTAATCCATCACTTCACCATAGGAATTTCCATTGACTATAAATATATGCGAACAATTACAAACTGATCCACCCTCAGAAATAATTCAATTCCTAGATATTAGTAATGGTAGAATAGAACTGCAACCAAACATACATGCATTATACTGCCAGACAATTCCTGCACTCCTTTTCACGAAAAATATTGATTAATTGTGACTATATTCCTGAAAGTAAAAATTATTTGTTTGGATCATAGCTGGCTCAGTAATCAAGATACATTGCGTCCAAATGTAGATGTTGCCGAATTCGTTGATGAAAATGAAAACGTAAATTATCTGGATATACCTGGAATGACATCAGATAATCTTCGGTTGAAAACTGGTTCACCTATTATGATTCAGCGTAATTTCAATTTCACTCTTGATATGTTTTCCAATGATATTGTCAGAATTCGTACATTCTACTACTGAATTAAATTGAATTTAAATTGTTTATAATTAATTACTATAAGTGTTATTGTTAAATGTGTCTGCCCATGTATTATCTCAAATGTTATCAACTAACAACTTTGAAAATTAGTCATTTGTTACAAACTTGAATATAAAATTATTAAAACAAAAAATCTCATCTTATATCTTATGTTTATATGTGCTTAATAACAAAATAAGAAAATTGGTATCAATCATTTTCAAATTTGGAAGTAATATTCAAAATTTAACCCCTTGGATACTTACACCCGAAATAACGTTTTCGTTTTTATTCATCAACACAATTTTACTGTATTTAATAGTTTAAGATTAAAGTAGCCTTAGCCACGTAATAAAAATATATACTGGTAATGTGCTTATAAACAATTAATAATAATTTGAATCAAAGATGTTATGAAGTAGTTTTGCAAAAAATAAAAAATATTTAAGCTAAAAAAATGTTGTTCTATTCAGTGCTTAGATTTAAAATATACACATGCACACATCTCCTTAAGATACAATAACCACAAAGGCTCAAGACAAACCCCTTAAGCACTCCTACCGACACTGTAAAACTGCATGAAATCGGATTATAACTCCGCCCACTCCCCATATAACGGTTCAGTTAAAACCGCGATAAATCAACAAATAGTTAGAAACATAAAATTTTACACCCGAGAAAATAAAAGACGGCGTTTTAGGTGAAAACCCATATCTCGGGACCTTCTCGATCGATTTAAAAATTCGATTTAAAGTTCAGTATGGGATATTACTTTGAGATTTTTTTATTACGACTAAAAACTGTTAAAATCGGACTACAACAGTTCTAGCCCCCAGATCAAAAATGGAGACCCCAGAGTAGAAACTTATATTATATTATAGAATAGGATATAAGATCAATAACTCCCTTAGTCCACATATACCTAATGGAAATATTTGCGCACATCCCGCTGATTTTATACGGCAAATATCGGTCAATATGTGAGCTATGTTAATGAAATTGAAAGAGTGTGTTTTTCTGGTAACAATGTATCTTTGTGCATAAAATAGATAAAATCGGGTGAAAACTCTTATATAAAGTTATATGAGTATAACTAATATCAGGATTTTAAAACATCCGGTTGACATTATACCGCATATAATGGTGATGTTATATGTGGTAGTACCTTAATGAAACTCAGAGATAATCTTTATTAATAAGAAGTGGTAATAGCAAAAATAGATAAAAGCGGTTCAATAATACTCCTACTTCTCATATATTTAATATAGGAATTTCTTACTTCCGGTTGGTCTTAAACCATATATAATATATCGGTTAATATGTAAGAAATCTTAACAAAATTAACTGAACGTATAATATTGGACTACGAATTAACCAAATCCCCATATACTACATGTAATGATTTTGGTTATTCTAACAAATGCTATGCTGAATATGTCGGTCAGTGTATTAGCTATATATCATATTTATAAAATTGCTTAAAAATATATTCTTGAATAGACTTGAGCAATGTCCAAAGTTAGTGAAATTAGTTCAGATCTACCTTATATAACACAATGATTTTCAACCTGTCTTTAAACTGTTTAGGTTGGTGTGATATTTTAATAAATTTAAGTAGACAAGAATATGAATCGAATTGGTTTAAACATTGTTCCAAACCTCATATCCTTAATATAATCAATTCAATATATTAAAATTAGCCTTTTTGGTTGAGCTTATGTCAGATACACAAATCTTATTTGAAGATGATTTTGATATAATTTTCTCTGATGGGAAATAAAATATAGTTATAAAACTATTTGACTCTATGGCCAATAATAAAAATTAAGAAGATACAAAATTTGATGGTAAGCCAATCAGTTTCGTCGAACAAGCGTTGAATACTTTCACAACATTTTTATACTCTCGCAACCTGTTGCTACAGAGTATAATAGTTTTGTTCACCTAACGGTTGTTTGTATCACCTAAAACTAATCGAGTTAGATATAGGGTTATGTATATATAAATGATCAGGATGAAGAGACGAGTTGAAATCCGGGTGACTGTCTGTCCGTCCGTCCATCTGTCCGTCCGTGCAAGCTGTAACTTGAGTAAAAATTGAAACTTTATGAAACTTGGTAGACATGGTACCGTGAGACGGTTGGTATTGCGGATGGGCGTAATCAGACCACTGCCACGCCCACAAAACGCCATTAATCAAAAACAAATAAATTGCCATAACTAAGCTCCGCAATAAGATACAAGACTGTTACTGCAGTTAAAATTTTCTTTTAAAAAGTAGGCATGGTCCAGCCTCTAATAGGTTTAATGTGCATATCTCCTAAACCGCTAATGCTATAATAACAAAATTCACTGGAAGCAAATGTTTTTAGCACTTCTACGAAAATAGTTGAAATCAGGTGGCAACTCCGCCCACTCCCCATATAACGGTACTGTTAAAAACTACTAAAAGCGCGATAAATCAAGCACTAAACACGCCAGAGACATTAAATTTTATCTCCGGGATGGAATGAGATGACTTTATAGGAACCGGGTTCAAAATTAGACAGTAGGCGTGGCACAGCCCACTTTTAGGTGAAAACCCATATCTTAAGATCTGCTTAACCGATTTCAACCCAATTCGGTGCATAACGTTCTTTTTATATTTCTATGTCAATGGGCGAAATCGGACTACAATCACGCCTACTTCCCATATAGGTTAGGATAGGTTAGGTTAGCGGGTCGATCCTAAGAAGGATCACACTTGGACAGCTTAAACGCCAGTCCGTTGTGGTACCCAAAACTCCTATGAGCCGGATCCATAGACCCTTACATGTCGACAAAGCGCTT